GAGAGAGGGCTTTGAGGAGGGATATTCAGGGGGAAATGCTCCTCAGCCTGGCACAAGGCAGACAGGCCACAGAGACCCACAGCCAGAGCCTGAACCCATCATTTGGATGTACCCAAACTACAAGGCTTTTCTCTTCCAGATGCTTCTTGTCAATGAGATGAAGCAACAGTAAAATATGAAATTGCATTAATGCAGCAGTAAACTCTCACATATGGGGCTGCCTTCATCTGGGCTCCTAAGCAAGAGCCTTGATAAGGAGTTTTAGGGTTATATGGCCAGCACGTTTTGGAGGTTGTTTGCACATGGGCTAGGGGTTGTTACACTGGGGTTATTTCAGGCCAAAACCCATGCACAGCATTGAGCCAGACACACAGATTTCTCAGAGATGAAGGTGTGGGACATTAATTCAGGAAACTGAAAATGTTTAATCTCACTGCATCAAGAATAAGGGACATTGAGGGTCCATGAATTGAGATAACTTGATTTTAATACAAATACAATATTTTTCTCCCTATCTTTATTAACTATTATTCTATCGGAAATGTAAATAGTTTCACACAGACTGCAAAGGAGCCCTGCCATGTTTGCTGCTGGGAGAGAAGGCCACCGCAGACACAGTGTTTGTTTACAAGGGATTGCTGGCTTAAATTGTCAACCACTTCCCCAATATCACCACAGAACTGCTGGCAGACCAGGCCAGGAGCTCAGCACAGAGTGGAGGCTGCACCAGCCACATTCTGAGGCATCAAACCCTGCACCTACCTTGCATTTAGGAGAGGAGACTCAATGCTGATGGGGCCAGGAGCACTCAGCTGGAACACTTCAGTTCCCCTAAAAGAGAGGAATTCTTTTCCAAGGAAATTAGCAAAAAGCTTCTGTTAGCGGCAATGGGAAATAATTGAAAATAATATCTTGCAGGTAAATTATGCACACCAAAAACACAGCGGTGGAAGAAGGCTGGGCCTGCAGAGTTCAGCTGGGAGTTGGCAGGGCTGCCAACTCCCAGCTCCTGTGCAGGAGTTTACTCCCAAAGGACAGGATTCACTTCAGCTGGGCACGAGCTGCTCTGTGAAAAGCTTGGCATCCACCACAACAGGAGTTGTTACCTCCTGAGAGGGTGGGCAGAATAGGAAAAGCACAGCCTCATCACCAGCAGGAACTTGAGACAAACTCAGGATTTTCCTGCGTTTCATCCCAAAAAACTTTTCTCTGGGCTGAGTGATATTCTGAGTTGCTTGTCTGACCAAGACTTGGGAACACAAAGCAAAGAATTCAGATTATCCAAAGATGCAGGTATTCTCATAAACGACCCAGAAGACCTCCCTAATGTGGGAGGGAAGCATTCTAGGGCTAGGTTTCCACAAAAGCAAAATATTTCCTGGAGTAGGCTTTCCACCAGAGGAACAAATAAGGTTTCAGAGGCTGAAACCTTGGACAAGACACACCTCACACTGTGGATATGGTGCTCGTGTCCCTCCAAGGCCACTCTCCAGCCCAGCTCTGCAGTGCACGGCGCAGGGCAGCCCTGGCCAGCAGTGCCCTGCTGGGCTGGGTGCTGTGCACAGGTTATTGCAGGGCTCCCACACAGCTTCATGGCTCCAAGCATTCCCTCATGCCTCGGGAGCACCAGGCACACCATGTCCAGCTTTGCTGTTTTCAGCCATACTGTTGAGGTGCCTGTTTACTTGGGAATCATATGTTTTCTGCCCTGGTCCTCACTGTATTCAGAACAGTTACTTAGCTTCTATAAGCCCCTTGTTAAAGCCTTTTCCTTTCTGTAATCTCATCAAACTAACCAAAAGGAGTTTGTTCTGAAATAGAGTCCCATTTTGTAACCTGGCTTCCTGGAGGAGCAGCTCCCCATGCTCACCCGGCCCCTCCACCACAAAAGGGCTCTGCTTGTCCTAGCGCTGACAAAACACTCCGTCTGTTTGGGTTAGTCAGCAGGGGGTTAATGAAAAGCCCGGCCCTGGGGACTCCCACCTTATCTGCAATCATGAATTTATTGAAGAATGTGTTAATGTGCTGGATTTTATTCATCAGGGGTCAGGGCTTTTCAAATTCTTCCTCCCAGCTCCCCCTCTTTCCATCCCTCCCCAGCAAGCTCACAATGCTGTTTAAACAAAGGACTCCCAACACAAAGAGCAAATTTACACAGTAAAGTTTTCTTGCAAGCCCAGAGCAGGGTCTGGAAGAATTCCAGCTTTATAAAGAGAAAAGGGGGTGGGGGGAAGAAAGGGGGAAGGGAGACAGGGGCATTTTGCAGAGGATAAAAGGAAATTGAGAAAAGTTCCCACCTCCCGAAGCTCAGCCCTGAATATTCTCCATCAGTTAACCCCAAAGCAGGAGGAGGTTTTGGCAGAGCATGAGCCCTCATAGCATCAAACTTCTCAGCCTCCTTCAAGGAGGAGGCTGAAATGAGTGCTTCAATATCACATTTAGGGTGACACTTCAACAGCTCCTTTGTCTGTGGACTGCTAACAGAAGCCCCTAAGAGGACACAGCAACCATTCACCAGGGCTCCTCCTCTGTTCCTTGTTTCACAGGTGTGACAAGCACGATCTAAAAGGAAATAATAGGGTTCAGCAACGGTGACACGGTGACACGTGTCCTTGCCAAGTGAGAACGCAAAGGAGCCACAGATCCCACCTCCCATATCCCACCACATGATGTCCCAAGACAGGGACCCCCAAGGTCCTGTCAGAGTACCCCTGGCACCTCCCACCCAGGCTTGGCAAGGGCCCAAACCCACTGCTACCTGCCAGTGCTGGAAATAGGCAGCCATGGATCCCCTTCCATCACCTCCAACATCATCCCCACTCCACAGCTGGAATAAAGGGATGTTTCATTGGTTACTTTTATTATTTTTCACTCAAAGGTTAAGGCCTCCCAGTACTCTGTCCATGTTGGTTGTGCCTGTCAGAGCTCTGGGCGTTAGAAAACAGGGCACAACCCTGCACTAATGAACCAAAGATGACCTACATGATTTTCTTCAGGTCTTGTCACCCCCACTTCCTGCACTGTCATTAAAGAGCTCTGCCAACATCTCAGAAAGGAGAGCTTAGAAGAGACATCACCCCCATCCATTCCTCTGCCCTCTAGACACAGCCTTGCAGAGCTCACCTGAGCACAGAGTTTTAAAACATTTTACAAGCAAAATATAAACACTTTACAAGCAAAATATATGTGATGTTATTGGCCATAATGCTAAACTGCTGGGGGAGCTACAAATTGTCTCTCAGGCAGGAGAGGAACCACTTCAGGCATATGACCTAGGGGCTTTCGGATATTAAAACAAACCCATTATAATGGGATTCTATTTTCTGACAACTCTCTCAGCCAAAAGGATGCCATCGACTCAAACTTTCATTCCTGTGTTTATTTACCTTGGTTTTTATGGAGAGAGATGCCTTCTGCCATACTCTCCTAGCACCAGCAGCAATCTGCAAGCAGCTCACCCAAACTGCGGGGGAAAAGGGGATTAAACAACTCTGGAGTCACACACAGGAGCCCCCAAACAGCACTGCAGGAATGCTGGCTGGCACTGCAGGGGCAGGGATGCCCAGCAGCCACATGGCTTCGTGCTGGCCACAGAGGGGCCGAGCAGATCTCAGCACATGGCATCCAGCTGCACTGTTGATGGACTCCTGACTGCTGAACGTACAATACATATTTACAGAGTCTCCTCCGTGACAGGAATTCCAAAGCCTCATGCAGAAAGTAACTCAAAGGACGTAATTAAATCAGTTAAATGGCTTGGGCAAAGAGATGCAGCTACAGACAGATTTCAACTCTTGGAACAGTCACAGGACACAGGAAACGATTAGGAGAGCAAGAACTGTAAAAGTCCAGGACCAACCACTTGCTTTTCTTTACTTAATAAACTAAAATCCATGCTTAATTCTGACACAGACCAGGTGAGCCTCTGAGCACAGTGCCCTAGGATGAAGGCAAGTGTTTGGGATAGGCAGGCACCATGCCAGCATCAGCAGAGGTGACATTACCAGGTGACAAGTAAAGCCAGTGTCGAGAGCAGAAATCAAAGACCAGTCAGTTGATTTTCATCTGTTAATGTGATGTGCAGTGAACAGCGAGCCCCTGCTGCCTTTTTGGAAGCAGGAGCTTGGGGAGGAGCGTTGCTGCAGCAGGAGGGGCTGCTCCAGCTGCTGGCAGAAGCAAAGGAGCCTTTGCACAGTGGGAGATCTGGGAGCCAAGAAATGGCCTCGAGTGCTGGAGGAGCCGTGTGAATCCAACCATTAACAGAGCTCGTGGTCAGTTTTACTGAATAAACTAGGACAAAGCAGGAGCAGCGCTGTGCAGGGCTGGGGGCTTGGGGAGCTACCCTGGGGGCTGCTCCCACTTCCCAACAGCTCCAGGCATGGTCTGGCCTCTCTGGACAAGCTCCAGTGACCAAGGAGAAAGAAAAACGCTGCCACAGAGAGAGGGCACACAGAGAACAGGACAGCCCCAAGATCCCAAGGCAGCATCAGAGCTGCACAGACATCACCAGCCAGCAGCAAAGAGGGTACCAGCAACCTCCGTGTGCAGACAGGGCCACCATCCTGCACTGCCTCCGAGCACAGGCTGGGGGTGGCACCATGGGAATGAGGAACACCAAAAGCTTTTGCTGCCCAACCAGTCCCCAGTCTCATGGGGGAACTGGGCAGAGAGAAAGGTCTTCATTTGCCATGGGTTCCCTGCAGAGCAGGGACTGCACAGCTGCAATGAACACTGCCTTTCTTCCTCCCTCAGAATAAAAAATAAATAAAATTTAAACCCCAACAATTCTGCTGGGCAGGGGGACACCACTGATGGCAGAGAGGAATCAACAAAGTGCACCCCAAACCTCCCGGGAGCCCCACATGCCCAGATCATGGGCAAATTTGTACCCATCGTAAGGTCCAGGGCTTACCTGAATATGAACAGTATCCATTCACTTCTTCACACCCCTGCTAAAAAAATCAACTTACTAAAAAAATCAACAAACCTGGTATGAAATATAGAGTAGCCACCATTAACATCATATTTATTGTTATTTAGTTGCTCAGTAAAACATATACAGATATGTACAATATGCAGGAATACAGAAGACTGCACTTTACATATTTAAAAAAAAAAGAAAAATAACACTCAATTTCATGAGCTATCGTCACAGTCTTCCAACCAAGCATTTAGGAAATGAATTTAACAAGAATTAAAAAAAAAAAAAAAAAAAAAAAAGAAAAAAAGGAAAAAAAGATTACAGGATTGCCTAACACACAGCAGAGTCAAGTTTTCATATTTTACATGTGCAATAACATTTTTCAGAAGAGTTTGCTAATGCAGTACGGATTACCAGTGTTTTGAGGTTTCTTTTTTTTCTTTTCCATGAACCAAATTTAGTACAAAGAAATAATATCCTTTTGCTTAAGGCTGTTTTAAAGCTGTAATATTCTTGGGTAGTGAATAGTGATAAAGTTATAACTGCCGGAAATCAGAACCTGCAGTTTCATCAGTCAGAGAACCTATGAGCGGATGGACTCAAAGCAACAATTTTAATAGAGAATTTCTAAGACAAAATTAGACTATTTCCTCCATTAGCCTTAAGCATTAAAGAAGAAACAATTCTATAAAAATGGGTTATGCTCTTACACACCATCCCTTGAACAGCTGTGAATCCACTGGCTGATAAAACCTTACACTGCAGCTTAACAAATAAAAGTCAAATGTACCAGTTTGATTTGTTGTCCCCCCACTCACCCAGTGCCCGTCCCACTGCTGTGCTCACCTCGTCCCTTCCACCTCCCAAAACTGGAACTTTTTGCCTTATTGGTGGTGCCTGGAAGTCCAGTCCCAATCCCAGGTTCCCAAGGACCAGAGTGACCATGGAGACCACAGGACCTGCACAATTCCCCAGGTGATCCAGGTGACAGAATTCTGGTGCTCATCCCCCTCCCACCCGCAGACACTGTAAAAACCTTGACTAAGCAACAAGCCTAAAGCCCCTTACTGATGCTCAAACAGCAGAGGGCAAGTAACCCCACGAGAATGTGATCTGGAGAAAATCTGCAAGACTATTTAATAAATGAGGCCTATTTTATCCTTTTTTGGCAAAGAGGTATTTGATCACTCCTCCCGATTGAAATGCAAGGGAATTTTGCTCAGTCTGCTACGACACTGCAACTTGCAGACTAAGCACAGGGTTTGTTTTAGGGAACAGAGGGAGCCAGGGCACAGGGCCAGGAGATGGGGAACGTCCTGGCTCCCCCGACCCAGCCCCGAGGCTGCGTGGGAGCCTCCGGCGCCAGGAGAATCCCCACGGCAAAAGGCAAAGCCCCACTGGAGCTGCTGTTCACAATCCAGAGCAGATTGTGCCTCGTCCCACCCTCTTTGGCTTCTTGTCCAGCTGCCCCCATCTGGAAGCCATGGAGGACACAGGCGGGAGGTTTCTCCCAGGCATTTGGGGAACACGTATCTGATAAAATTCTCCCTCTGTTGACCCAACTCGGCCCCTGAAGGAAGTGAGCCTCGGGCACAGGGCTCTGCAGCAAGCAGAGGTCAGACCCCAGTGCAGCTCAGCCCTGCCACTGTTCCCTCAGTCTCCTGCAGCTGTCTGTGCCTCAGTTTCCCTCTCCACAAGAGAGCAACTTACCTCTTCCACAACTGGCTCTACCTACAGCTCCCAAACATGTTTCAGTTGAAATATTATTATTCAGAAAATGACATAATTTCCATTCTTACCATGTCAGACCATGCTGACACTTTATATGTGTTAAAAAAACTGATCAGTGCATTCAGTGTAAAATCAATGGAGAAAATGGGTACAATGAAATTACTGCAGGTGCCACCAGCACTGTGACAAAGCTTGAGCCTTCTGTATATGCTGTCAGTACAACATCCCCAGGTGATGAGCAGGACATGATGCCTGTCCTGGTCAGAATGTAGAGTTTCTGTTCTGATCTTTGGCAAAAAAGCAACAAAATCCTAAAAGCGCAGGTTTGGTTGGTCCTGGCTAACAGCTGCCTCAAGCAGAGCTCTTTCAATCAAGATCAAACAGACAGGAGGTCAGCAAGAGGACTGTGTGTGACCATAAGATTCAGTTAAACTCCACGGCCAGCGAGCCCAGCACACAGCCAGCCACTGCCTCAACTCCTCACTCTCTGCCAGTCCCAACCCTGCACTGCATCCACTGCCTGGAGCAGAGCCAGAGGTGGCCAAGTGCCACAACACCCACAGCTCCACGTGGCACAGCTCAGCACCTGGAGACACAGCCCCTGGCCTCAGGACACCTCCTCACCTCACAGCATTCCACTGATTTTAAAGGAATTGCTTACGCTCTGCATTTCCAGAAAGCAAGTTCCAAGTGGATGAGAACACTCCAGGAGAGAAGCACAAGCTGCTGAGATGAGCCAGCAGAACTGGGTGGTGAGACCAAGCCACCACAGCTCCACTCAAACAGGGATTTCTCTTTAAAAGCATCTGAACTCTGTGTTCCCTGACAGGTTCCTTCCTGTGGCACAGGGTGTGCATCCCTGACCTCAGGAAGCCTGAAAAACCTGTTCTCTTCAGTGCAGCAGGAAAAACTAAAAACAAAGCACAAGGCAAGGGACTGCACTCCGAGCAGAAATGCCACCAGACCACGAACTTGGCTGAAATTTTCAGCTGTAAGTGATGGAACGCAGTGACTGGTGTCACCCCAGGGCCCCCTGCTGCAGACTGAGCTCCCCACAGCAGCACACGTGCTCTGCTGACAGGATTTAAAATTAAACATACACTTAGGTAAGCCAGGATTTGAGGAATCACAGGCAAAGAGGCATCTTCTGGAAGGGGGCTGACAGTGATTACTAGGAGATACTTTACTGGGGATGGTGACATTTTATTGCAGGTGCAGGAGGAGCTCTGCACTCCTGGTTGCACACCCCGACAGAGGTACAGACCATCCCAGCTTTTTGATCCAAACCAAGTGGGTGTGAGGCAGCTCCACAGCCAGTTGCTCCAGGATGGGCAAAATCCTCATCCTCGTGGAAGCTCCAGCTTTAATACAAAGTAAAATAATATTGAAAACCAAGATTAAAAACTATCCAAATTTATCCAAAGTCAATTCATTGACCAGACCCATAAATCAATCCATGCATGGTTAATAAGAGCACATTCAAATCACATTTCCAAACACTGTGAGTCTCTCTGAAGCCACATATGACTGAGAGTGAGGATTCCAGACCACCCTTGGCTTTTTAGGCAGAATTTCCTCTCCGTTGGTGTCTACCAAGAATATTACGTTAAAATTAATTAAAGACCCAGCACAATCATCAAAGATAAAATATAAAGCAGTCTTCAACTCTGTCCCTTCAGCAGGGACACATTTGTGAAATCATGAATAAATAACCCTAGAGAGGCCAGCCTTTATTTCCCAACCAAAACCAAACCCTCTAGTGCTGTTCCTGAGCTCCAGGAGCTGTGGGAGGTGAGCTGCAGGCACGGGGCAGGACGAGGCCACTCCTGGGCACAGGGACGCACAAATAATGGCCAGTGTGACGTAAAACCACTGCAGAATCAGCCCATCGTGTCAGCTGCGGGTTTATCTGGTTTGCTTCCAACTTTCATCTCAAATGAACATTATCTAGCCCAAGCAGGAAAGTATGGCTTTCCTTTTATTGTGTGCATCCAGCAATGCTGCTCTTCAGTGCATGGCAGAAACGGGGCCTTGAATGAGTGTGGGGGATTGTGACACCAGGTCTCCCTGCCCTGGCTGATTAGGAAATGCCACCCCTGGGCACACAGCCCCCTGCATCTTCCAACCTGGGCCATCCCTGACCCCTGCCACTGCACTGAGACATGGGACCTGTTGTGGCAGGAGCTGGGGCACCCCCAGGCAAGTGCAGGGGACACTGGACCTGCTGCCAATCAACAGCATCTTTCTACAGTTTAAAATGGGCAAAAAATGGGCAGGGTGCAGGGGATTTTCTTCTCCACTATCAATGAAGTGGGAACTGCAGGAGCACCACTGGGCCCAGGCAAGCAAAAAGGAGCCTGGGCCTTTGGAGGAGGAGATAATGACTATTAAACTCATTTAGAAAAACCTCTCCATACCTTCCCTGCTGTGCCTGAACCAGCCCATTCATGACAGAGCTCCATCCCAGGGCTACACCCAGGTACACAGAGGAAGAGCATCCTGGCCTCACCAGGAGGCACAGAGCACAACGAGGCTGAAAGCAGAGCCTCATTCTCTCAGGAAAGGGCAGGTCCATGCCTGAACATTCAACAGAGCATAAACTGCTTGGTTTGTAGGAGACTGGTAAAAGCTGGGTGTCACTATAACATATGATTTAATGCTGACCATTCTGCTTTCACTGGTGTTTATTCCTGAACTGCTGCTCCTCAGGATTACCATCCTAATAAGCACTGAACAAAGCAAAACAAAACGAAACAGGAAAAAAAAAAAAAAAAAAGAAAAACAAAGCAAATGAGGAAGAAAAGGAGGAGGAGAAAGAGGAAGAAGAGGAGAATCTTTGTCTTATTATGACATACGTGACTTGGACACACACTGAGATGAAAAAGGAAAAGGCCTCATCTATAAATGTATGCCAAGGTTACAGAATAATGGGAAAAAGTGGTCTAGCAGGAAAATCTTAAGCAAAAGTGTGCTAACTGCAGAAGGGTTAACACTGGTAACATACTGTGGCAGAAGATTAAAAAAAAGTTGAGGTTTACTTTAAATTAACCCTTTCCAGTCCATATGCCACTAAGCAGGTACCAACCTAGAAAAATAGTCCACCTAGCAGTAGCGGCCCTTTGAAATTAAAAAAAGAAAAAAAAAAATAATAATTTCTTTTGTTCAAGTCAGGGCAGCCACAAAAGTCCCAAATCTGTTGGAGATGTCCGAGTGCAGGGACCTCCACGTCGGCACCGCAGTCCGGCCCTTCGCCTCGCCCACGTCGTCCGTGCAGTGGACCGAGAGGCACTGCAGGTGGGTGCCCGTCTGCGCCGCCGCCGCCGAGGTCTTGCTCGGGGGAAGGTCGTGGGCTGCAAAGGGTTCACAGAGAGAGGTTAGGAGACCTGTGACAAGCAACCCCATCAACTCACAGCACACCTTCTCCCCGCACCCCTCTCCTGCATCTCCGGCTCGGAGGATGCTGTGTTGCCACCACCGAGTCACCACATAAGGTATGGCTGCCCCTCCCCAGCCCAAAGCGAGGTCCCGTGGCTGGTTCTGGGCCAGAAGAACACACCTGAGAGAAACCAGCCACGTGTCTGAACGCCAGGGATGGACTGGGACTGATGAGTGTGTGTCCTAGACCGCAGCACAATCAGGAACTTTCCTTTCCCACACACCCACTGCTGCTGGAAACAGATGCTGAGACACCACCAAGCAGGAAGCCAGCCCCGAACCCTCCGTGCCCTCGTGGTCAGTCCCAGCATCGGTCTCCCTCTTCCCCTCTTTTAATGGAGCACTGTGATAACATTTTTCTTAACATTTTGTTTGTTTTAGGACTTGGTATGATCTTTAGCTATCATTAGTTTCTATTAACCACAGAAATGTAAGACTTTATCTGAAACACCCTAAACAATGTCCACAGGACATTTTCCTCCAGCTTTTACAGTTAATGTGAAGAATAGCTAAAATGGGTAGAACATGAAAAGATGCCAAAAAACAGTTGTAAATATTTTAACAACTCAGGACTTTTCTTCCCATCACAGTGTAGGGATACCACACTTCATGGGGAAACTCATTATTACTTTCACTGAACCTCCTGCTATACCAGATACAAAACCAGAACTGAACAGCTTGTTACACAATCACAATGATATTTAAAAATGATGTTAAACTAACCTGGAAGTCCCTGGTTTAAACTGGAAAAAGCTATCAATGTTTGATTATCACAGGATGTCAGAGATGCTCATAACTAAAACAGTATAACACCACCACACAGGAACTACCAAGAATCTGAGGACATGATGCCATAAATGCTGGGAGAAGGAACCAGGCTCCAGAGCAGCACTGCTGCCTGCTCAGCCCTGCAATGTGCAAAATCCACAGAGAGCTCCACTGCACACCTCAGACAGGCTCTGCACTTGTTTTTCTCCAGGCACCTCCGGTGCTGCTCCAGTCGAGGATCCAGCAGCAGCAGCAGGGCAAAGCTGCTCACACTGTCTACACCCAAACGGATTCCAGCTCCCTGCAGATGGGTTGGGTGGTTTTAGTTTTGATGAACAGGCAGCACTGAGGGGCTAAGCAGAAGCATGGAGAGGAGGTTGCTGTGTGATACCCAAAGTTCCAGCAGGCAAAGAGGTGTTGGCACAGATCCCCTCCCAGCACGTGGAGCTTTTATTCTCTTTTCTTGTCACCCCTGAGTCCTACAGCTTTTGGAAAATCACAGGGTAAAAACCCCAGACTCCCTGAATAACTGCTATTTGATCAGGTGTTCAATTTAACTTACTGTCCAGAATGCAAGCATACCTAAGACGTTTTTTATTTATAAAATATTCAAAACTCAGATGGGATTGTGCAAAAAATTGTGAACAGGAAATGTTTTCCTTACTTGTATTTGTTCACAAGACATGCAGTACCCACTGTTTTTATTCTTAGGTCTCCCTGACTGCACAGGACATGCTGGGCTCGGCACAGGAAGAGCCAGCGCCTTGAGATTAGTCCTTGTGACAGCAGCTCTCTTCCTCTCCTGCAGAGAAAGAGGAAAGAGTCCTACAGCTGAACTGCTGCCACAAGGGGCCCAGGGGTCCCAGCAGCGTTTCTACAAGGGCTGCAGGAGACCCCCAACAGCCAAGGCAGAGGTGGCACATTCCCAGGCTGGGATCGGAGCCAGAGCTCCCCTGCTCCAGCTGTGCAGGCACCCCAACACCTAGAACAGAGCTTGTCCTCAGCAATGACTATGTGAACAAATTCATAAGCCACAAGGAATTAGTGAATTAAAAATTAAGCTTATTTGCTTGTAAATCAGCAAAATTATTCCTAAGCCATTTGCTGTGGATAAAATTCATAAGCAAACTACTGATAAAGAAATCAAAGCAAAATCCCACACGGATGAACAAGATTCCTTAGCTTGAGAGGAAAACCCAAGTAAAAGAGGTGAGCAGGAACTGAGCCTCAGTTTGCAAAGCCAACACTGACTGACACTGCTCACCATGGGACACCACTGTGGGAGCTCCAGCTCTCCTGTCTGTCGTTAACGAGCACAAAAAATGACGTATTCAAATCCAAAACAAAGACAGCTCGCAGCAAAGCTTGCACTGGCACAAGAATTCTCAAAGCCAATCTGGATGGAAATTTTCAGTGCAATTTACTTTTTTCCAGTATTTCTGTCTTGACAAAAGTATGATGCTTTCCAGGAAAAAAAACTTTGTAGCAAAAAATTAAAGTTGTGCTGATCCACCTGGTAAGAATTATGTTCTTAAGCATGAGATACTGCCTGATGCTTGTGCAGAACAGTGACACTCTCCCAGCAGACCTGTTTCACCAGCCATCCTGTTTGCCTCCTCCCTCCTCACAGCCACAGTGTCCCAGCACTCCCCAGCCACAATGTCCACGGTCCAGAGCAGTTCTGGTAGCTGAGATGGACGTGACTCGGCACGTTAAAATTAGTCAGGTAATGCAAGATGGTGTCACCACATCATTGCCTCACAGCTGCCAAGTTCCAGATAAATCACTGTCAGTCATGAAGTACCTCACTGAAAGCACGGAATTTTCAAACTAATTATCTTTAAGCTGCACAACTGCCTCTGTTAGCAATTACTGCAAGAAATCTGAGTTATTAAAAAAAGCAGTACGCTTCTAATAAGGGCCAGCCTCCACACCCAAGATCTTGAGATGGTCTGGGTGGAGACTTCCCCTCCAAACCAAAGGACATGACACAGAACCTGGGACTGACAAAAGCACAACCACCCTGTGCAAAGGACAGTGTGTGCCACTTGGAAACAGCAAATGCTGAAGGCAGAGGTAAAAAATCAAACACCATCTATAAGCTCATGTCATGTTCACATGAAAGGCATGAAACTCAAAGCAGTAAAGTGACCAAAGACCAAAAGAAGCCTGGAAAACACTCCCTTGTGATGGTGTCCTTCCCCATTGCTGTTGGTGATGCTGTGGTGGTCTCAAGAGCCAGTTTGCTTTTAGGTAAGAGCTTCTGACCAGCTTTACCCAGCCAAACACACTCCAGCCATTCAGCCCCAGACAAACAGCGAGAAGAGAGTGCCCAGCCAGGCTCCCCAGCCTCCCTCCAGGCCCGACCCCCTGCTCTGACCTTGCACATTTTAGGAAGCTGCTCTTTCGTTCTGCTCTACTTTGCAAAGGCACAAAAGCCTTCAAAAAGAAAAGGTTGCTGTTTGTTTGTTTGTTTGTTTACACAGCATTAATGGCAGAGTGGTGACTAACCCAGGAGCCTGGCCAGCAGCGTTGGAGCCTGCAGCTGGGACACAGGAAGAGAACCAGGAGTTCTGCATCACAAAAAAATTCAATACACACACTACAGGCTGCTCTTCCATATCAGCTCAGGAAAAACACATTTCTTTAGTGAGGTTAGACCCTGGCATTCACCTTACTCTGCAGACAGCACGTGTATACACCTTCAGTACCTCCAGCTTCCCTCTCCCTGTTTCATGAGACCCTGAGCAGTTAAGCTGCTCAATATAAAGGCTCTTTTGTCATGTAGCATCTTCTTATGCATTATGAAAAAACAAACTTGTTCTCTTTACTGTGATAACCCCACCGAGCACTGTGAGGTGTCCCAGTTTTTAAGTAAAGTAATCCCATTTAAAACAAGTTCACCTGCACAGCTACCACACATTGAGTGCATCTTCTGTCAGAGAGGAGGCTAATTGAGGGAGGGCTGGTGTAGCCAAGGCAACTGCAGATGCTATGCTGAGACACCAGGAGCTGATGCTGCTCTTCAGGTGCTGCTCATGCCATACTTCCTATTTTTACCAGAATCACCACCAACAAAAGGACGGAAAGCAGTGAGACACAGGAGTGAGAGCACAGACACAGTCTGGTAGGGGTCTGGTTGGGAGTGGGTTCCACTCCACATTTCAGCGTTCCTTGGAGATTGAAGTGACAAACAGGAGGTGAAGATCCCTAGAATGGCTCCTTGCCCCAGGGCTCATCCCTTACACTTCTTCACCGTTCTGACACAGCCTGCGCTGCCCAGGGTCCGGCTGCCCGGCACAGCACGGCCCCGCCGCCGCCCTCGATGGCCAGCCAAGCGTGAAGGCCCTGCATTGCTACTGATCTTGTTAAGGCTGAATCTGAGGATTTGGCCATAACACCATATTCCCTGATCAGAGATCTGTTTCCCCTCTACCATCTGATAACCACTCTTAAAGGACGCGTTAATGGGCTTCTGTTCACTCTGTGCCCGTTAAGCAGAGGCCAAGCTACCATAAGAGGGAATAGATTTGAGTAATGATCCCTTATGAGGCAGCAAACCTACATATAGTGTTTAAAATTATTCCCTTAGGACAAGATGTTTTTCACCAAATCTCCCACATGACAGTTTGACATATTGGTTCAGGCACATATCTCTGCATTTGTACACAGCACAGAAGCATCTCTTTTCAGTTTTTGAGAAAAATAAGGTCTGAAAACATTTCATGTTTCCCTGGACACTGGACCTAGTCTCCACAGATTAATTTATTCCTGAAATTGTATTTTTAAAATTTTATTTTTAAGCACAACTAGTTCATTTGTGTTGATAAACAAATGAGCCATCTCCTTCCTCACCTCTGCAGCACGACAAAGTCCTTGACAAAGGCATTTTCTTGACCCTGGAATACAAGGAGGCAAGGGCTTGCATTTGTTCCTAGACACAAACATGGCATCTGCCACCTGCTTACACCATAAACCCACACCACTTTCAGGTGCCTTCACCCCTGACAACCTGTGCCTGCTTTGGGCTGGATGTCTCTGCTGTTCCCAATGCTTGGGAGGGCACAGAGACAGACTGGGAGCACCCAGCTCTGCTGGCACCCAAGGAAAAGCCCCAGCTACCCATTACTAGAACATTCCTCTTAAT